AATTCACAAAGATATACTAGATCAGACAGCCTGTGCAACAGTTTAATGCCTAGCCACAAGCCTCATTATATTTAGACAGAGCAAACCAACGTTAGGAACTTATTTTTAAAGAAAAGCAGTGACCAAAGTAATAACTATTAAAAGAAAATCCTTCATTTAATCAACAAATCAGGTTTGAAAAACTATTCTTGGAGTAGAATTTCTGAATATAGATGAACATAGCATTAACATTCAGACTGATACTATCATTACCCAGCTATGGATTAACTAAAACTGCACTAAACCACCTCATGGAGACAATGGAACAAAATGCTTTTCTTCTCTACCCTCTCCTTTGATGAGCTCTAGTTTCAAGGCTTTAAAAGAGATATGCTGAAGATTCCCAATTTCTATCTCTAAACCTGTCCTGTCATCAGGGCTCCAAATGAATTTACTAAACTGCTTATTTGACATCTTTCTTTGGATATCTAAGAGGCATCTCAAATTAACATGTTCAATACTGAACCCTTGATTTTCAAGGCCAAGGATTCCCCACCTATGGCTTAAGCCGAGTCCAGAGTCCAACTTGATGCCTCCTTTCCTCTTATTTCCACACCCAATTACTAAATCCTGTGTTTGATCCATGCACTTATCTCCTTTTTACCACTACCACTCATGATCTCACTCTCGGAATGTACTTCACAAGCCTCTCATCAGGGTTCCCTGCTTCCACTCTTGGCCAGCCCCCTGACAGACTATTACAGCAAACAGAGGGACCCAAGCATGTCTCTCCCTCACTCAGCTTAACACCCTTCTACAAATCATGCTTTGCCCCTGCCAACTCTCCTAGGCCTATGTAATCGGACTTCTGCTCCCTTCTCCTACCTCATTTTTCCTCCTCATTCCCTAGGCTCTAGTTTTATTTGTCTAGTCTCATCAAACTCTTTCCTTTGTACTTGCTGGAATGCCCTCCCTCCCTCCCTCGGCCTAACCCTGGTTCTTCTCAACCTTGAGGTGTCAGGACTGCCTGATCACTGAAACAGCTGCTGCTGCTGCCGCCACAGCTGCAACAGCCACTACTGCCAGTTACTCCATCCTAAAACCTGTTAATCACTTTCACTACATTCACCACACCTAAAATTATCTTGGGTATTTTTTAAAATCTATTTGTTTCACTTCACTAGGATAGGAAAGCAGTGATCTTACTTGTTCACCATTGTACCCTCAGGGCCTAGGTACTGGCTAAGTATTTGTTGAGTGAATTCATTCATGCATGTTCTAGAAATGCACCAATAGTGCAGAAGCAGATGCTAGAGAAGCCAGCCAAGTGACAATAGTGTGTAAAGCAGGCCATCTTCACCTGGCCAGAACTAAGCAGAAGCAAATTAGTTATCATAGTCTAATATTTTGTTACAAAAATTATCTCTCGGATCCCATTTTAGGGGTGAATACATAGCTAGAAATTAAGGTCTAGAAAGTTAAATGTATTCATCCAAATATTTCAGTGCCTACTGTGTTCATTTACATATTAATTAAGCTCAATCAAATGTATTAAATGGGGCACTGAAAACTTCCAGGGACAATGAGAACTAATTCAAATACACAATAAGTCTTTAGAACAGTTACATTAAATTTACTGCTTCTTACCTGCTATAAATAAAACTGAAGGACCTCAATTCCCTGTCAAGATTTTTGATCTTATGTTCCAATTTTTTGTTTGGACAATATGAAACATGCATGTGCCCAGGAAAAAAGAACATAAACATTATTGTATAAGCCGTGCAAATTCTAGTCTGGTGGTTCAGAAACTTCTGTGCATACTTCCTTGATTCTCTGCAAGTTCCAGGAAATTAAGATACTCAGCAGTTGAGTGTTAGTCAACTTTGGTTTGAGATGGTGAAGAAGTTTGAAATGTGGGGAAAAGTTTTGGAGAATAAAAAATTTCAAGATTTTATGAGTGCTAGCAACACTAAAATTCCTAAAATTCCGAATTTAAATACAAAGTTCATTTAGCATCAGAATACTTAACATTGAAGCAGAAATGTCATTTCATAAATTCTTATTCCCACTCAAATTTCTTTTTGTGAACTAATTCTCTAATAAGTTACACTCAACATTCATTTATAAAATGTAAGTTCTTATATTAATCATTTTCTTTAAAGCTCTTGCTGGCTGGGCTATTGAGCTTCAGTAACACGGACTGGCTAAACTAGGCAGATAAGAGACAAGGCATTTAACAAAATCACTTAATAAGCAGCATCAATTAGAAAGTCAAGTCACTATTCAACTAGCTGTCATTTTTTTAAAAAGTAATATGCAAAAGCTGGTAAGAATTTCTAGCTACACCTCTGAAAATAACATGACTTCAAGTATCTAAAAACATACCTTTAATCAGACTAAAACAGGAACACATGAATTCTTATAAAATGTCTTATAATTGAGAGGTTAGAGAAGTTACTGAAATTTAGAACACATTCCCAATTCTCTGCAATGTTACACAACATTAGGTATTAATGACAAAGTCTCTAATATTTTCTCTATTTTTTTCCCCAAAAAACCTGTTACTTCTTCTCCCCATTAAAAAAAAAATGTTAAAAGATTCACCAGGACACTTGGAAAATGCAGGTAACTCTAAAAGATCTAGAGATAGACCCATTTCAGTATAAGCAACAGAGTTTCTCCAACAAAATTTCCAAAAGCCAAAGATCACTTCTCCCCACGTAGCTCTGTTAAAACACAGCAGAGAATGAATAGAAAGAAGGAAGATTCTGAATAGACAGATTTAGCACACTTTAAGGTCAGATATGATAGTTACACCATTTCCTAAATGGTCTGTGACACTTCTATTAAATTTCAGATGTTTTTACTTGACCCAAACTGAATTTACTGCAATTATAAATTTTTAAAACTTGTTTTACTAGTCAGTTATATATTATTATTTTTATACTCTATGTAATTCCATGAAAGCTCAGTAAATGAAGGACCTATGTCTTTTTAAATTTA